GTTAAGAATAAAATGCGAAAGAACAACATTAACAGATAAATGACAAGGTAATCACCTAACTTAGTTGCACTAAATTCTTGAAGAGTTTAAGAGGGAAAAAAATAATGGAGATGTGGACCAAATTAATTGATACTGCTGAGCTGATGCTCAGCCTGCAGTTTACTATAAGCGACTGAAGGACAGGATTTTTAATTCCAATATATTTTAGACTGTCTTCCACCCTTTTGTCTCCAAGTACAAACATGCTCTGGAGATTTGACCAGCTTATCTATGAATAACATTATGACAATATCTGTCGTCCTGCACCAAAAAACCCCAAAACTAAAACACCCATCCAAAAAACAACATATCCCAAATACCCCAAACCAGCTATTGAGTGTTTAGCAATGGTTCAAAAAAAAATTCTAAAAAACTGTCAAAAGGTGATTCAGATGGTGAGTAATGGAAGGATATCCAATAAAACATCAGATAGAAGGGGTAAAAAAAATCATGCAGCTATTAAGGCATGTCTCCATTTTAACAGCATCTAAACAAAGGGGCCCTTTCTCAACCCATATCCTTACCATATGCAACTAGAGCACATAAAGCCTCTCATTAATACATGAAGTTCAAAATCAAAATTATATTCTGTGTTCCCATCACTTCTATTAAAATGTTTTTCCAGTGACCCTACTAAGACTGAAAATTAGTAATCAATAATCAAACTACTTTAGTTATTTCATATACATTTCTACTTTCATCAGTAGCTCATCATTTTCCAAATCTTCCTTCAGCCCTGTCATTATTCTGTATCCCAAGTTTATGTACAGAGACCAGCTATATTCTCTCTTTCCTTCGAATTGCAAGTCTTTTACCCTCCTTCCCTGTTTACCACTAGGGAATGAAAAGCTTAAGTAAAAGAATCAGAACAATAAATAAAGATGTTATCATTTTCCTAATCCATATTAGGGATGCTATTAAACTCTGATATTACAAATTGAAAAAGGATTTAAACACTTTGTCAGTAAGCTCCCCACAGTAAAATGAGTCCCTGCGTTCATCGTTGTGTTGTACTAATTAAACAGTTTTAACTAAAATGGTCAGGAAGTACACAGCAGCTGTTTATCACTGCTGGCCTCTGAGCTTCGGTATACTCAAAGGACACGCTACTTTAGATGCAATAATTACCGAGTTCTTACATTTTTACTGAAGAGGCACAGAAGAGTTCCAACAGAGAATTTCACATTAATCAGGAAGAACAGGGTACTTATTAATAATAAAGCCATGATTATAATAGAAAAAACATTTATTCAGTTCAACATTTGTAGGTACTAATTCTAAGAACTGTTTAAATTGATAGCAGGCAGAAAGTTTAGTCTCATCTCTCCAGGGAAATTCGAGAAGATTAATCATTTATCTGAAGCATAAGAAATGCTAAAGACTTTTAACTATTCACCCACAAACAATAGCTTATCCTCCATTCTTCTGCTTCTTAAGAGCTCAACAGTTTCTCTGACATCTTTTCTTCTTACTTTTTAAAATTCTGATGGAAGTTACTTCTCCATGAATTGGAAATGTCTTCAAACTCTAACACCAAAGACTTACATGAGAGTACAAATATTACTCTGTAGAGAACTCTCTTTTAACTTAAGGGCAAAATATGGACAAATTAATGGAATTTCATTTCTTGGCTGCCTTCTGAAAAAGTTCTCTCTCAAGTTTCAGGAGCATATATACATGGTTCAGAAAAGCTAGGTATCTCAAATCTCAGTTTTAATACTACAATTTCTATGCAGTTTAAACACCTTTCAAGGGTGCTAGAAGAAAACAATACGAATAGACCCAATTGCATAACAGTAACTTCCTATGAAAAAAAAACATGCCATAAAGGGGACCATCCCAACAGTTACACAATTTACCAGACTGTGACTACATAATAGAAAAATTCTCCTTATTAATACAACACATTAAAGAAAATTAATTCTTGCCTAGCAAGATTTTTGTGTATCTTCCACTTATTAGTGCAGAAGCAGAAATTCAGACTCTGCACAGTCAGCATTTAAAAACTACAGGCTGTTTCAGTCAATTAATTTTTTGGCAAGTTGAACCTTGCATTAACTATGGCCTTCAAATAAATATTACATTAAAAATACTCAATATGCACTAGTACAAAAAAAAAAAAAAAAAAAAAAGGAGCCTTCAGGGGATTTGATAGATTTATTTTAGCTTTTAAGTTTAATTTTATATATACTTTATTTTGTGTGGATAACCAAAGCACAGTACAACAGTAATATCAAAGTGATGCACGCTATGAAAATTTACTGTTTCATCTTTTGTGTATATTTACATATACACATACAAAGCATGTTTGCTTAAACTTATGGTAGACCACTATTTTTATGCATCAGACGTAACTTAGGATTCTGTGCACAAAATGGCATTACAGTACTATGGTGTATTCACTACAGTCAACTAACCAATATTCTCTAAATTCTAAGTCAAAAATATTTACCATAACAAAAGCTTATTAGAACATCCTAACATTTTGCTGCCTTTTTTTTTCTTTTTATTTCTGTTACTAAAAATTTATTAAATATAGATCAGAAAACCAGTTTCTGGTCACTTTTCTCTGAGCAACTTTATGTTTATCTAACTTTATATCTTTGTAATGTATACAAGATAGTCACTTGGAAGAAAATTATGGCAATAGAAACAATCAACTAGATTTGTCTGAGAAACTCACTCTCACAGTCTATACAGCATGTCTTTCCTACATCTGGTTACAACTAAATTAATTGGAGTATGAGTAAGAAGTTTCATATACTGTTGTGAAAATTCTCACAGGTAACAATTTCTCTCTTTACACACAGATTTACCTTCACTGGTGAAGTTAATACTCACACATGAATTTTACACTTTTTTTAAGTTGGAATCCCTGTACTCTGGACCTTCTAAATGCTGGGCTAGCCTGAATTCAAAGCAGGTTACTTAATTTCTAACTTGCAGAAAGATTTTAGAAATGGCCTACATACCAAATCACAGCTTTTTATTTGTATGCAGTGGTATGTTCTAGTTGATTAACCAGTTATTAAGGCTGGGCAGATCCCATTCCAGGCAGCAATGAACAAATAGAGGAGCACACAGAGAACACCAGGCTTGGCTCCCTAGTGAAGCCTGAACTGCCAGGTCCCACCACAGCGGCAGAAGCTTCACATTTTCTAGCTTACACTTCACATCATCTCACAAGAGCCAAGAGCCTTTTTATTCCAGGTCACATGGAGACAAATCACAAGCTTCTCCAACTTCCGAATGCCTATGGGTTTATTAAAATAAATTAGCAACCACTTCAAGGCTGTTCTTCTAAAAGCAAAGAGCCAGCACTAGCTAGTGAAATAACTTCTTCGTCAGAAACTAGAGACAAACTTTTTCCTGCTCATTTACACTATATTTGATAATGAACTGTCAGCGAAGAGCTAAGCTACGAAACCCCTGATTTCTAGAACAGCAGCTTAATAGTTAAAGGAAATCCAAAACCTTTTTTCTTACTCATAATCCTCGTACAGCAGGCATCAAGTTCAGTAAAAACTGCAACAAATAACTAAGGCAACTCTTCACAAAGAATACACTGTCAAGTTATGAAACCAAGATTTCAGTAACTAAGAAATGTTCTAAAAAGCCATTAAGCAATTCTAAGATATCTGGAGGTATTAAGTCCAGAGCTACTTACATGGGTCTGTGGAACAACTGCATATGAAAATTGCTTTCAAAAATCTGTAACACTCAGGGGTTTCAAAAGAATTACTGGTTTTGGTGTGGGGACAGGTTTGCATGTACACAGATGTACATAGACACACATATGTTTAATTTGGAGAAAAATGCAATACATGGGGAGAAAGATGTCCTTAGTGCCAGTTCAAATTCCTTGAACACTTTTCCCAGTACAGGTATTTTAACCCCAAAGCAAAACAGCTACATGAAAACTTGAAAAGGGAGAAAAGACATTTGTCTAAGTATTCTGTTCTGAATAAGGACTTACACTTCATTTTCTTAATGGAGCATGGCACAGTGAGGTTTATTTAGAGGCCTATACGTTCTAAGCAGCACTGAAATAATAAAATTCCACTTGGAGAGCTTAATCTAATTCAGGATACAAAGAAATGCTAGAGAAATACATAAGTGTTACCTCCATTTTTGCTGTTCTGCACTTTCTTCCACTTTATATCACTTTAATGTGTAAATCCCTTACTTGGACCCTGCACTTCTCTACTGCAACAGAACCTGTAAATTCTATTAGGGAAGAATGACATGCTTTCTTATTTTGCCACTGATCAATGAAAATGGTTGGGGGTAGGTGGGGTTGATTTTGAAAGGACTGTTCTTCCCAAGTAATTTTTAGAAACACTTCAGATCAGATGAATTCAAAACAGTTCTAGTTAAATGAAACCATTCTCCTTCAGAAGGTAAGTGTACAATGGAACAGAACACCCCACGGAGTGCACAATATTGACAGGCAAGCAAAGAGTTCTGCTTAAGCAGGGTGGGGAAAGGGGAGAGGACAGGACAACCAACCCTGAGATAAAGACACTTTAAAGCAACAGAACTGGTTACACAGGTATGGGACAAATAGTAATTGAGACTAAGCACAGTCTCCAAAAGGTCTTTAAAGGGCTCCAAAGCATTCTGCAGCTGACTTAAGAGACACACCAAGAGGAAAAAAGCACCATCCCAAGAACTACTTTCCTCCTAAAATTCACTTCACAAGTGTCTCAGGATGGAAAACACTGAATGAACAAGATAATTAGGATCTTACATCTAAGGTTTAGCAATCCATACTAGTTTGGTATTTAACACAACCTTCTTCCACTCACACTCACTGCAAATCAAGCCAAGGGGAACATACACTGATTCCCTAGTACCCAAAGCAACTCAGCATGATCCAAGGGTAGCATCACATGAAATTTACATTTAAAGACGACCACAAGGATCAAAACATTATTTAGGGACTTAAAAGATATACTTACATCTGGATATTCTTTTACAGGCACATATAGTTTCTCTTGTAACTGTACAATAGGTCCCACAGCATCTGGTAATTCTGCACTTCTCTTCTCCGTACTACCATTTAATGTGTCGTTATACATGTCTTTCCGTACTCTGCTAATTTCTGTGGGGGGAAAAACGTATATTAAGCATCAAATACAGAAACAGGTTATAATCTAACATGACAATCTTCTCTTTTCATTATTTCCCAAACCTTAATGCCATTTTCTTCCTCTTCTCATGAACATCATAGTAGCTGAAAAATCTGTTCTGGTTTTGTCTTTTTTCTTCTGCTTTGTTTGGAGGTTTTCAACTGGTTTTTGTTTTTTGGGGTTTTTTTTAAATTGCAGCACCCATCCTTAAATGTCTTTCATGTCTGTAAATTTGCTGCCTACTCATCCTGTTTATGGAATTCAGCTATTGAAGTAAAAATTACGTGCACCTCCTCAGAACACTTACAAGATTGCTCACATCATTTAGAAGGTGTATAAAAACAGTTCTTTTATGGTTTGTTTTTTTTTTTTTTAATAATACAGCATCTAGAAAGAAAAAAAAAAAGAAATCTGTACCCAACATAAAAAGTAGAAAAATGCATCTATACAGTACTTTTGCTAGTTATGGGATTAACTATAGCTTGGAAATTAAACAGAGCATCTTTCAGCTATGGGAAACAGGACAACTTAATGGTGCAGTTCATGCGCACATGACATGACAACAAACTGGTAGATATTGTTCTACTGACCACCCCCAAAGAGATAACAAAAATAACAAAATCAAGTGTGGTTTCAGAGACCTGGGCAAGCTCTCTGTGCACCCAGATGCCCTACTTCATTTCAAAGTAATGAAAGAGTACCTCAAGAGCACCAGGGAATGTCGAGGGTGAAATTTTAAGTACTGTTTCTACCATTTGCACTTGGTGTTACTCACACCTTGAAGTAATTAATTACTTGGAAGATGCAGTTTAGTACTTACAAACAAGTAGTTAAAAATGGTTAATCTATTTCAAATCTACATTATTGTAACTAAGCTGTAACAGTCTGAGGATGAACACAAAAGATCCTTTTGTTTAATCAAAAAAGACATTTATTTAACAAAAACTTACATTTTGCTTCTAAATCTCTTGAATGTGGTATTTAAATTGCTGCTATAAGAATCAGAAGTTTCACATTTCATAACTTATAGAGTCCCAAATAGTGTAAAAATGTTCTTAATGAGTTTATTTCAGTATCACTGAAGAACTACTTAAAATGAATGTATTGACCAGGTTTCAAACCAAAAACTAACATTTCAACTGGATTGTTCCCAAAGCATTAAAACTGACAATAGCATGGGCTGTAAACAAGGCAATCAGTAAATCCAGTCCTTTACTTAGAATTGCAACAACGGCTTTCAAAACCTCCAGAATTAAACATGACACTGAAAACAGAAATCTTATGTTTTCATCTAAATACAGGAAGCCACAGAAAGAAGAAGTCACTTGAAACTCTACCAGCAGACAAGAATATAAACTCTGTTTCATAATCAGTTTCTTCTCTGGCAAATGATTAATAGCTGAGATTTCACCACCTGAAAAGCTGTGGGGTGGGGCAGAGCATCAGAAAGGAAACATCTCTGAAACAAATATTCAGGAATAAGTTGTTTCTCTGCTGGAAACTGACACATCATGTGTACTGTATCATGATTTGGTAGTTAACACCTGTTTACAATGGGGAGCACAAAGTTTGTCACCATATAATCATAGTGGAAGGAAAAAAATCCTCATCTCCTTCTACCCAGACAATTTTGGCAATGAGCACAAATTCCTCAGAGTATTTATACTGGCTTCAGTATATAAAAAAATTCTTTAGCACAACTCTTTGAACAAATACTACTATCTTCTGGCGTACTTTGTTCCCTTTTCATTCTCTTCAGATTTCCCCCTAATTTACACCACACTGAAACAAGCTATGCAGTCTGTAGAAGTACTGAAGCCTAAGTAGCAACATGGTCGTTTTTATTTATAGTTGGCAGCTACTGAGTAGCTGCACCAAATTTTCCTTTTAAAATGTATCTTTCATGAAGAATATAATCACTAACACTGGATATCATAGTCTTCACAGGAGAAAATTAACTTTTATTTTCATCTTTCCTTTGCAAATAATCCTATGACACATTCATGACACTTGAAAGCCAAACATTCAGAACACACACAGATAGTATGAGAGCTGGTTGAGGACTACCCCTCAATTTCAGCTTGTATGAAACCTAAGCTATCTACCACACCTCCAACTTTATAGAGAATGAAGACATTTACCAACACAGTGGAGTACAAAACTCCACTATACCAACCAAACACCTGAACTTTAGTTTTCTTGGCATGTGTAGGTTTGTATTTTCTCTCTCTACACTCAAGCCAGCAGTAATGACAACAAACATCAGGACAGGGACAGTCACCTACATCAGCCAGCAGTATCACTTGCTCCTCAAGTGCTACCATTTCTTCTGCCTCTTGGAATTTCACCCTCTCTCTTGTCTTAAATACTTTCTCCAAGCCCTCAGAAGAAATATTCAGAAGCAACACATGAAATAATAGGCATGTATTCCCAGTTTCTTTAACTGCTGATCCAGTCTCCAAACTCCACTTCTGCGCAACACATTATCTACGAAACTCACTTTCCACTTCTCTTAAATTTGACAGGACGGAAGGACTACAGCTTAAATGATAAAACAGTTAGATCAAATCTCTAGTTCACCCATTGTCTCTCACTCCTAACTACAGATGGAGTACAACCTATCTTCCTTCCTAAGGTATTAGTGCAGCTGACCACAAGCATTGTCTCAAATTCACAACTCATGAAGTCATTGCTTGATATTCCTCCTGGGTTTTTTTCAGATTCTGCTGAATCCTTCTACACATCTGCAAGATTACTCTTTTTTTTCATGATTGACAGCAATTTTCTCACATACCTGCCTCTTGTTTAATCACACCTCTGATGCCTCAACAAAACTCCATACAAAGTACTGAATTTTGATGCCATAACCTTTCCTTTTATGGTCTCCATTACACCCAATTCAAGATTCTAGTCTCTTGAGTATCTTGCAACTTTGCCACTCACTTTAGGCAGTTATGTGCATTGACAGAATTATGTGGTACTGTATTTTCAGCACCTTCTTCAAGTTTACCAGGAGTTAATAAGGTTTCAGAAAGCACCAGCAGCACATCAGAGGAGATAAAAGCTCTCTCAAGCTGCAGCAAGTATCATTTTATTCTGAAATACATTAAAATACTGAAAAATCTGAGGAGCAGTGCTAAAATAGGAAGGTCAAATCCTCCAAGCACACCTTTTTATTTTTAGTATTGAATTCACATATTTAAAAAAATGTCAGCTAAACAGTCTTTTATTTAGACTTATTTCACATTTCTGACACACTAGGTCTTCCCTTGCCCAAAAAGCTTCTTTGGTATGTCTCTCATGAAGTCACACTTTTCAAGTTCATTTATAAAGCTTTAGCTCCTTCACATTTACAATTCTTCAGATTCTTCCCTCTCACAGCAAGCCAAGTGATTCAAAAACAAGGAAAGCTTTACTTTCAAGAAAACATCTAAGTACAATTCTAGGTACTTTACCTCTATCTTAATGCTGCAGTGGTAATTATGTTGTATAACTCTCTAGGGATTTAATAAAATGTTAGTAAGGAGAGATACATGTAATAGTAAATATGACTAGAAAAAAAAAGAAAGACATACAGCAGCTTCCCCATATCTCTAAAACCTGTGAGTTCTGCCAATGCATTAATAGGTTTAAAGGATATAAGTACCCATCTCTACTGCAGGTAAAGGCAGAAACTCAAAGAATTTCAAAACCTACAATATTCACCTTTAACAATACCCTGGTCTATACATTCAAAGCAGTAAGTTTAGCAGTAAATGACAAATTTGTCTTGCTCACAGCAGGGTAGTGGAGAAATAAATTTAAAAGAAAAGACAAACTGGTTTCAATATCTTTATCTTGTTTCACCTTAATACAGCATGACCTAGTTAGCCATGGTAGCAATGACATGCATTCTGCTCCAGAGGACATTTTTCTTCCTCTGTCCCTGAAACTATACAAGTAACATAATCTTTTGTTTCCTTTATCTACAGAACATATTTTTCAATCTCTCTAATACCTTTCTAAGATATGTTTTGAAGCAGGATATACTGTTTATACTGCTTACATCTGCAGGTATGAACTGTTTTGATTTCTTCATTAAACTTACAGTATTCTTCCCCCTTGAACACACAAAGACCAGTGTTCATGTGAGTGTTTGTCACCACATTAGACACCATCAAGAAGTTACTCATTTTCAGCTGTCAATTATTCCTTCAGAGGAAGTAAGACTCTGCACATGTGTTTAAGACTGCTGGGTTGCAACATAAAATGGGTTTACATAAACCATTCTGCAAGAATATTCAAAGTAGGAAATCAGTGAAAAGATTAAAATCCTTCCTGTCCCACACTTTGCAAACCACTTTCATCATAAGTGGCCACAGCTTTACTATTTCTCACCATTAAAGCTTCTACATTATAAAATTTTATCTTTTGGAAGAGCAGCAAACTTACTGCTTTTAAATTGATGCATTCCTCACTGTAGTTTAAGTTAGAACTAAGAATTTTAAGAACTAAAACAAATCTTCTGCTATTCCAGTTAAGCTACATCCATTTAAACAGAGTGTTTTTTCCTAAGACCACGTTAAGTCATCAACGCACACAGAATTTAACTTTTGAAACTAACAGAAGAGGACCTTAACTATCATTCATTGTTTTTACAATACACAGCAAGTGGGGCTGGAACAATCCAATAGTCAAAATCAGCAAGAGATACAGAATTAATCAAAACACTAATCATCTTCTAACACCAGCAGGCATGCCTCCTTAACCAAGTGAAGCACCAGGCCTTCAAAGATTCTCAGGCACAAGCTAGTTTCCATACGAAAAAAATAATAAAGTCAGCAGCAAATGTTTAAAGTTAAAAGTTTAAGAGTTATGGTAAGAATAACAGTTATGTTCATATAGCTAAAAAACTACATGGTACTTGGATCTCACTGATGCATAAAACATCAGTTTCAGTACTCTACTTTCTCAGAGAAATCAAGTTATATCC